ATTGCCTTATCTCTAGTATCAAGAACAGTGTGTAACACATGTTAGGTGCTCAGTAGATATTTGTTGAATGAATGAATGAATGAATGAATGAATGAATATGATAAGGGGAATTGGTCAAGTCAGGAGGTTTGGAATAACTTCACCGAGAAAGAAACGATTGAGCTGAGATCTTAAGGACATAGACGAGTTCACTTGGAGGAAAGAGGAAGGGGATGGAACCAGAATACAAGCTTCATGAGTGTGGAAGGGCCTTGTCTGGTTTATTTACATAAATAATCTCCAGCACCTGTTACATAGTTGGTTTGCAGTAAATATTTCTTGAATGAAATGAATGAATGAAAACGTATCTGAAGTAGAAGGTCAATAGATACAAGGGCCCCGTGGGGGAAGGAGCCTGCTGATTGCCAGGAGAGGAAAGGCCAGTGTCATTGACATGCAGAGTACAAGGGCTAATAGCCTGGTGTGAGTGTGTCAGGAGAGTAAGCAGGGCCAGATTTTGAGGACCTATTTTGAATTGAACAAAAGAAATGACAAACTCAATATTTTCCTCACAGTTTACATTTCACTCCATTGTAAATTTGAGGTTCCTCACTTGCTATAAAATAAAAGTGCAGGTTTTTTTCTTTTCTTTTTTCTGTAATTGAAAATATAATGGTATTATGGACTAAGTAAATGTGTTCAGGTTTTACATGACCTGCATCGGTGATCTAAGGGAAAACTAAATCTGCCGACCTACCATGTAAGTGGATGTCCTTGATTATGACCATTTTATTTATTTATTTTTTAATGTTTATTTATTTTGAGAAAGAGAAAGGGAGAGAGAGTCTCAAGCAGGCTCTCTGCACTGTCAGCGCAGAACTGACATGGGGCTCAGTCTCACAAAACATGAGCTGAAATCAAGAGCCAGACGCTTAACTGACTGAGCCACCCAGGCACCCCAGTTATTACCATTTTAATTCAGAGAAAGCTGTCAGTAGTACTGGGCAGCATTTAACCCCTTTACTGTTAATTTTGGTTTGTATATGTTAGCTTTTGTCCTGGTAACTTTTAGGCCTTCTACAGCTCTTTTGGATTTTAATGTTTCTGTTAAGGTAAATAGACTGCATTAAAAACAAAAAACGCCTAAGTTATTCTTTTAGCCAGTGCAGTTGCAGAAATAGAGGTTATATAGAACTCAAAATAAATTGATCATTTATATCTTTGCTTAATTCTAAGCCACTACTAAACTGCCTATTCAAGAAAGTTGTTTCTACTCACTAATATATGGTAAAAAAAAGTTATAAAACACAACGCTTTGTGTGTGTGTGTGTGTGTTTAATTTTAGAAACTGTGTTTCACCTATAGGATGTGTCTGTAGCTTGTGATATCTTAAAAAGTGATACCAAAGAAGGCTTGTACCCATTATCCTGTACATTTTCTAACGTGTAGGAAATTAGGGGAGGAAACCCAGCTATAGTTTTGTAAACTCTGTAACATTTTTAAAAATTTTTTAGGGTTTTTATTTATCTTTGAGTGAGAGAGACAGAGCATGAGCAGGGGAGGGACAGAAAGAGGGAGACAGTATCTGAAGCAGGCTCCAGGCTCCGAGCTGTCAGCACAGGGCCCGACGCAGGGCTCAAACTCACACACTGCCACATCATGACCTGAGCCGAAGTCAGACACTCAACCGACTGAGCCACCCAGACACCCCCATGATAACATTTTTTAAAAACTAAAACTAGGGGTTCCTGGATGGCTCAGTTGGCTAAGTGTCCAACTCTTGATTTTGGCTGAAGTCATGATCTCGTGCTCATGGGGTTGAGCCCTGCGTCGAGCTGTGCACTGACAGTGCAAAATCTCCCTGGGATTCTCTCTCTCTCTCTCTCTCTGCCCCTTCCCTGCTTGCACGTACTCTCTCTCTCTCTCAAAACAAATAAATAAACATTAACAAAAATAATAATAACTAACTACTCCCCTGAAATTTCTCTGACTTGATCTGTAAGAGTGAGTAATTGCAAATTTACAAAACTGTGGAGAGGGTGAAATCAGATATTTAAAGCACCAGGTACATACCGGCTGCTCAACCGACAGCAGCTCTCTCTTCCTCTCACCCCCATCCCAGTCTTTGTGAGTCAACTTTGGAGGGTAAGAAGCCATCTGAGTAACTTTTGAAACCATGTAAGGTAACACAGATTAACTGTTTTATAAAGATATGTAGAGGACATTAAAGGATATAACTAACCCATGTTTAGGATTCACTTGGCAAACTGATTAAGAAAACCCCTGACATTCCACCTTTTTCAGACAGTTATTTTCAAGCTTTCATTTTCTTTTTTTTTTTAATTTTTTTTTTTAACGTTTTTATTTATTTTTGAGACAGGGAGAGACAGAGCATGACCGGGGGAGGGTCAGAGAGAGGGAGACACAGAATCGGAAACAGGCTCCAGGCTCTGAGCCATCAGCCCAGAGCCTGACGCGGGGCTCGAACTCACGGACCGCGAGATCGTGACCTGGCTGAAGTCGGACACTTAACCGACTGAGCCACCCAGGCGCCCCATCAAGCTTTCATTTTCTTAGGAAATCTTCAGGGTGCTTGATAAAATTTCAGAGTCCTGGGCTGTGGCCCACAAATTGGCATTTTTAGGAAGCATCCCAAAGAATTCTGCAGGTAGTCTTTGAAATAACAGTGGAAACAGTGTTATGGTCTCAAGTGCCTCCAGACAACATGGGTAGACCAAAATTAGTTGACTAAAATTATTAACTACGAGTATCCTTGGATACTTTTTTCTTACTAGTTTTGAGCACAGGAGGGTGCATGTGCAAGAACCAGGAGCTGATCATGAGAGACTTTCCCATTTGATAAGGTTTCTAAAGTCTAGTAAAGCTGAGAAAGCAGAGTTTCTCCACATCCTGTTTTTCAAACTGTAATGATCTGTGGAGTAAATATAACACTAATGACTGGCAGAGCATTGATCTGGGAGGCTAGGATATTCAGTAGAATTGGAGACAGTGGGGCACCTGGGTGGCTCAGGCTGTTAAGCATTCGACTTCGGCTCAGGTCATGATCTCATGGTTCGCGGGTTTGAGACCCCGCGTCCGGCTCTCTGCTGACAGCTCAGAGCCTGGAGCCTGCTTCAGATTTTGTCTCCCTCTCTCTCTGCTCCTTCCCTGCTTACGCTCTGTCTCTCTTTCTCTCAAAAATAAATTTAAAAAAAGAAAAGAAAGAAGAAATGGAGACAGTAATGAGGGAATGTGGTGGTGTGCCCACAATAGGTCAGAGCCTTGAAAATCAGTGTTGCTTTATGTTGCTTTGAAGATGACCCCAAAAAACTTATTTTAAAACTATGGATAACTTACACTTTTGAAAATAACTCACTTTTTTTTTTAATGTTTATTTCGAGAGAGTGTTCATGCACACAGGAGTATGAGTGGGGGAGGGGCAGAGGGAGAGAATCCAGCCCAAGTGGAGCTCGATCTCATAAACCATGAGATCATGATCCAAGGATGCTTAACCAACTGAGCCACCCAGGCACCCTTGAAGATAAATCACTTTTAATGCATTCGTTTTTTGTGTTTTGCTTTTTGCTTCTGGGATCACAGGTAATGTTCAGATTGCTAATATTAATATTAATAAAAATAATATTAATTTAATATAATTAATATGTGTATTTGATTCTTTATTTACTTTGCAGCTTTGATTAGTTTATCCTTTGGAGGAGCAATTGGGCTGATGTTTTTGATGCTTGGATGTGCCCTTCCAATATACAAGTATGTAACATTTTTGTCTTTTTTAGTGTTTTAGGGTAAATTTTTTCTACTTTTAAAGCTTTAAATTTTTTTTTAAATGAATGCTTCTACTGTAGAAGTAATCCTAAGAAATGTTCATTTACCAAGGACAAATCTTTTTAAAAGTGCAAAAATTACTTTTTGGTTATTGCACTTCTGCTCAGTTTTGAGCATCTCTTAATAAAATTAAAGACAAGAAAATTTAAAATATCTTTTCAGCAAAAAATACGAGAAGCAGGGTCGAGAGACAGTTGACTAAGAAAATAAAGTCCTGTAAGCAATTATTTTCCATAGGATAGAAAGAACTTTTAAAAATTAATAGGATAGATTAGTAAGAAAAATAAAACTAAATAGAAAAATCAACAATAAATATGAAAAAAGAACTGCAAGTTACTAATAAGCACATGAAAATATACTCAGCCTCTCAATTAAATGAAATCCTTTGGTGAAGGTAAAAGCTGGGGCAAACAGGCACTGTCGTGTATGAGAAGGGAGAGGTATAGCTTCATGTAGTCTGTCATCTTGGAAGCCAGTTTCCTTGTAGCACTTAAAGTCTATATATTCCTTGAACTAGCCCTTCCACTTAGAATTTCTCATACAGGTCTCCTGGCAGATGTTTACAAAGGTATGTGTAGTGAGGGGAGAGTATGGATGTTCATGACAATCTTGTCTGTAATAACAAAAAAACCTGGAAGTATCCTAAAGGCCTGTCAAAAGAGAAATGGTTAAATTATAATATGTCCATCAATGGAAATAGTAGGCAATCTTAAAAACAATGAGGAGGAGCCAAGAGCTGTGAGTGCTGATATATAAAGATGTTCAAGATACATTGTTAAATGAAAAAGTGCAGTGATTCATATTGTTAAAATTTATCCGTGTGGAAGTATGGAAGGATCCACAAGAAGGTTGTTAGGAGAGCAAGAGAGAGAAAGTAGGGAGACATGGGCAGCTTGGAGTTTTCACTGTTTGTGCTTTTTTTTTTTAATTGACTTTTTATGTTGAAATGATTATGTATTATCAAGAAGTTGCAAAAAAATAGTACAGAGAGGTCCCCTGTACCCTTCACACAGGCTTCTCCCAGTGGCTGTCGTACATAACTGTAGTTGTATTATCCAAACCAGGAAATTACACTGGCACAGTACAATAGCTAGACTGTTGATTCAAAGCCATCTATTTTCTATATTCTAACTTAAAGTCTTCAATATTACTTTCAGTTCATTTTCTACATTTTTATTTCAGTATTTTGGGAGTTCATAGTGACCTAAGGAGAGTTTAGGGATGTTCCAGCTTTACCCTGAGAAGGCTGTCATTCATCAAGAAGTCAAGGGCATGAATCTTGAATTTTAAAAATTACTGTTACTATTTATATTTTCCATATGCCTCTTTATTTATAGCCTAAAATAAGAAAAATAATTTTGGGCCTTGATTCCAACTGCTATAATTTATAAAGCATTTTTTTAACATAAGAAATATTTAATCATTGTGTCATAATTCACTTTAGGATTACTATGATTCTAATTATTACTATTTTCAGTGTTCAGGTTATTGTTTATTTTTAAACTATGTCTTGTTTTGAACCTTGCAATATTCCTTTGGTCTTTATTTTTTAAAAGCGTATATTATGTGTAGGAAAATGACATAGATAGCAAAAACTACATTAACTTATTTTTTTTTTCTAGCCAATACTGGCCTCTCTTTGTTCTGTTTTTTTACATCCTTTCACCTATTCCATACTGCATAGCAAGAAGATTAGTGGATGATACAGATGCTATGAGTAATGCTTGTAAGGAACTTGCCATATTTCTTACAACAGGCATTGTTGTCTCAGCTTTTGGGCTCCCTATTGTATTTGCCAGAGCACATCTGGTAAGTGTATATATTTTTCTATGAACGATTTTACATCAGACTAGGTTAAAATTATCTCAGGAAAAAGGATAGAGATAATCTTACTTTTGTTGTTAACTGATAAAAATGATATTGGAGAGGGCCGCCTGGGTGTCTCGGTCGGGTAAGCGTCCCAAATCTTGATCTCAGCTCAGGTGTTGATCTCAGGGTCATGAGTCAGGCCCCACATTAGGCTCCACGCTGGGTGTGAACCCTACTTTTAAAAAAAGAGGAAGAATGATACTGAAGAGCATGGCTGGGGTCTGCGGCAACAGTTGGCTTACCAGTTCTTCACTCTCAGAAGTGGGCACATCCTCTCACCCAGTGCTTAACAACCACAGGCCACCCTCTGTAACTGTTTAAAGGCCTGAGGAGATAGTGTGTTCTTTGCATGGGAAAGTGTGAAAGAGGAGAAGGGCCTGAGCTCTGTATACCTGGTCTTTGCTCCCAGACTCACCAGTCAGATTCACTCCCCCATCTCTGGGGACTTAGAGATGCCGGGGACTGACCACCCTTCCACATGGAGGGGGAGATTACTCCCCCTACTCCTTTAAAAGAATGTACATGGGTGTGTTTTCGTTTCCGGTACTTTAAATTTAATCTGCTCTCTAGATAAGATTTTAGATTCACTGAAGAAGAGTTGGAGCAAATTTCTTCATGAGCATTAAGTTGTAGAAATCTCTGCTGCCTCCTCAGAATCCAGAAGTCTAACTTTTGAATAATGATCATTTTCATGACTTCCTGTCTTTTTAAAGGAAGCAAATTAAAAACAGCAATATAGAAGGACCGTTAAGTGTTGAATAGAGTGAAAGTTACTATCACAGATCTTGCTTGTTTTTATATCATGATTGGCATAGAACTAGAATCTAGATTTGCTTTTCATTTTCTTTCTGTTTTTCCTACATCTGTTAACTTAAGTGTTTATCTGTCTTATTTCTCTAGATTGAGTGGGGAGCTTGTGCACTTGTTCTCACAGGAAACACAGTCATATTTGCAACTATCCTGGGCTTTTTCTTGGTCTTTGGAAGCAATGATGACTTCAGCTGGCAGCAGTGGTGAAGGAACTACTGAACTATTGTCAAATGGACTTCTTGTCATTTGTCGGCCATCCGCGCGCACAGGAGATGGGGCAGGGATGCTGAGTGGCACAGCAAGCCTCTTGGGGGTGTTCTCAGTGCTCCCCTCTCACTTTTATTGTAAGCATACTATTTTCACAGAGACTTGCTGAAGGATTAAAAGGATTTTCTCTTTTGGAAAAGCTTGACTGATTTCACACTTATCTCTAGTATGCTTTCTGTGGTGTCCTGCTGAATTTGAGTATTTATGTGTCCCTGTTTAGTTTTTTTTTTTTTTAATCAACATGCAATGTTAAGCATTTTTAAAATGTAATAACCATTTGCATTGGTTAGGAATTAGATTTCTGCTGGCTATTACTGGGCTAAAGGACATCTTTTGTCTTAAAATTATTTAACCTCCATTGCAAAAAGTTAAAAAAAAAAGTTTTCAATCAGTCAGGATGACATCACTCCCAATTTTATGCAGACCATTGGCATACCTTATAGACTGTACACTCAGTATAGCTGCATTTATACCTCAGAGGGGCCAAGTATTAATGCCCATGCCCTCCATAAAGGTTGCTGGTTTTGCCAGTAAGCAGGTGTTTTGTGGATTGAAAATTATTGTACGGAATTGCCACAAAGAGTGCTTTTCTTCTCAGTCGTTAGAGGAATTTATTGTTAAACTCAAAGGTAAGCGTGTAAAACCAGATTTTTGAGATGGTTTTTATTTATGTCTATTATAGATAGAGTGAGTTGCGTTATGGGAAGAAACGATGTTGAAATTCCATTTTTTTAATCCTCTTTCTATTTATAAGTGAAATGTTTGATCTTCTATCAGCCTTTTCATATTTTACTGTGGGTGAAGTGGAACATACTACTGATAAGGAAAAGTTGTAGTGTGCATCATTTAGACCAGAAAACCTTTCCCTGCTTCCTCCTTTTAACTTATTTTCTACATTGTATATATTAAGTAAATTAACTTTCCAAATATAGTTTGATAACACTTTCAATTAGAGGTGTTAATCTCACCTGGAAAGTACTTGCTATGCTCTACATGCTGAGTGCCCTGCCCCGCAAGGCCTTGACATGATTAACAAGTGACTTGTTAGTCTTGCACATAAGTCATGCATTAACAATTTAAGATTTAGACCATGGTAATTGTAGTTCTTACTCTCTAAGGTTATATCATATGTAATTTAAAAATATTTAAGACAAGTTTCCTGTATACCTCTCAACTTTTTTGATTTTTATTTCATCATGATAGATCTGCTGTTTCCTTTTAAATGGCACTTATTGTGTGAATTAATGCAAGGTAGCCAAATCCAGCTGTATAGCAGCTTCAGACACAGAAGACCTGACCAAAAAGTTCCCAGTAACCAGGCATGATCAAATCGTTGTGGTCATTTGCATCTCAACAATTATCAGTACCTTTTGCAAGAGTTAGTAACGAAGATGTTCAAGTTGGTCCGAGAGTATTTTGTTGGGATATTTGTGTGATTTTTCACTATACTTACATAAAAATTGTTTTGCCTTCAGACAAAACTGAGTGATCATGACAGCTTTTATATAAAATTTATTTCTGAAGAAAATGGGAACCCATTTTGGGTTTGTTCAGCTTTTTACTAAAGATGCCTAAAGTCCACAGGTTTTATTGCCAGGCCCAGGTGGTGACTCTAGCTGTGAGATGGGAAGCAGAGTGAGGTATCTGCGTGTGGCTGTCCCGCCTCTACAGCAGGCTCAAGACGGCTTGCAGTGTTACAGTGATGTAGCCCTAAAGGGGATGGTACAGGCGTGCATGAATTAGCTGGCCATATAGTTGGGAACTCAGTGCGTGGGATCTACTTGATTTTTTTTTTTTGCAGGAAGTACACTCTCTGGTTTTCTGTTCTAGAATATCAGTGCAGTGCACTGCGACTATTCTGTTCACTTGGCCATAGACTCTTTCTCTAGCAGCCGCATATTTCTGTGTCCTGGTTGCGTTTGGCAGCATCGTGTCTCTCGTCTTGCACACGAGCTTGACATAGTGCTGTCTGATCTCTAGGCTAGTTCTTTGAGCTGTGAATTTGCCATAGAACATGCACTGATACCGCATTGCCATTCTTCTACGGAAAGAAAACTTTTAATGATGAAACAATAAAGATTTTCAATATCTATGTTACTTTGTGGGTGTTTTTGAAATGCAAATATGCTGCACACTTCAGCTCCTGAAGTGTGTTACTCATTTTAATAATGCAATATATTAGTCATGAATGTTAGACTTGCAGAAGTTTCACTTCCAAAACAGAATTGAAACTGTAGTAGTAAATATTACAAGGAAGCCCTGTGATTTTGAGCTATAGGTTGGTAGAAGTAGGTTGGGGAAGTAGAATTTTTAACTGGCCCTTTACAAAAAAGCCATAGAGGATTCTGTTGACCTGAAAAGACTGTTGATAATCAAAAGTCAAGGTTGTACCTGTTCTTAAATTTTCAGAACCTTTTTTATGACCGTATGTTTTATTGTGTATTTATTACCATTCATTATTGGAGCATTTGGCTTTTTGCAAACCTTTCAAATAGTTAAGGGCAAGAAATCTGTGTGGCACAGTGTGATTGGAGAAAAGTACTATTCTCTTTTATCAAACGTGAATCTTGTCCCAAGTTGTCTTAATTATATCATCTCATTATATGTTTTAAAAAGTTTAAACCATAGTTTCTTAGTGTTTGCTCTAACATGA